GAAGAGCGTTGATAAAATTCTACTGCAAAATATTTTCTAAGTAAAAATAGTGAGAAAAAGAAAAAAATTCCAAAGTAATAAAAATGTTTTCATGGAACAAAACAGTTAAGCATTTGCTTAATATTTGATTAAATAAGATTTACTTACATTTTCTTTAAAGTGTTTTAATTTTTTTAATGTCTGTGGAGTATTTGTATAATACCATGATGTATATTTATGTAGAACTGAAATTATAACAGTACAAATATCACTATAGGAGAAAAATGACATTTTAACGTATATTGTTCTATCCAGTCAAATCGTGAATCATTTTGAAGTTCATTATAGAGATATTGATAAATTGTGTGGTTGTCTTAATGTTTTTTTAATTATTATTTCATCCAGCTGAGGTTTTCAGTTAGAATCATCAGTTGGTAAATTCCAAAAAAATGGATAATTGAACTTGGTTTAAACCTGATAATTGTATATGGTTTAGTTAAACCTAATCATAGCGCTGAGTGATGACATACTTTTAATACAGTATTCAATTTACTTGAACAAAATAGTTCCTTGTACATATTTTTGCCTATTCACTGTTGATATGTACGTAGTCAACTGACAGTAAAAAAATAACACTAAAAATATGGTACCAAAAGGAAAATTGTATAGGAGAACAGTAAATAGTAGCCTCACTGCAACAAATACTTATGTAAATATGCTTGGGCTTCCAGTTACAAATTTTGTAATTTTGTCATTTATTTATATCCTATAAAAGCACACAAAATAAAATGAAGTTGTACAGTCCCAGTGCTTCGTGCATCATTGTATCATTGCTAAAGGGGCCTGATCAGAAGGATACTGAAAAGTCGGGGAAGGGTCCTCCCCTTTCCTTGATTGCATTGGGCTTTGGATCTTGTCCCGCACAAACCCAGGCGCTGCTGTGAAGACAGTTTTGGTTTAGAATACAGATTTTGTTTACAGATGGTAAATACTTCATACTTTGAAGTCCTTAATTAACTGGTTCTTCAGTGCGCTGCTGAACTGCTGACTTCCCATATTTAATCGCACCCTGTAAAGACTCTCACAGGGAGTTATGTTAAAACACATTCACTTCAGGCACCAAAAGTACAAAGCGGCCAGATTTTCAGGCTATAAAAGTGGGGCACTTCTTATGGAGCTGAGTGACCCCTAAAATTAAAGGATGAGACAGGAGCTGCAGCACAACTCCAAGCAGATGTGAGGGAGAGGAGTCAAACAACAGGAGGAACTGGCAAGTGGCAGAAAGAATTTGATCTAGGTTCATCAAAGCAATGTCAAGCAGGTAAGGTGGCACAGTAAGCAGCTGAACTTGTCTGGAAGAGATAATTGGGGCAAAAGAGACGGAGGATGGCTAGCAAGAGCGATGAAAGATGAGTCAGATGAAAGACTGGTGGGACAAGGAATGAGTGTGAAAAGTCTTGGGACACAGTGAACGATTGGACCTCCCTCAGCAGACATAAATTGAAACCAGAGATGAGAATTAACAAGCATAAGGCACTCTGTATTTCCAGAAACGTAGGATTTTAGAGGGAAGTGTTTCCCTCTCTGTCTGATACTAGTGTAAGCCAGGTAGAGAGAAGTACCTCTCTGGCATGAGACAGTGGTTCAGCATTCCTTTCTTTAGATCCAAAGAAACTTCTGCAAACCTGCATGAACCCACAGCAGCTACAGCTTGATCTTTAGTCCTTTTTGGTCAATGTGACTTTCCAATCAAGTTCAAGTATTGAAGTGTATAGACTAGTAAGGGGGCATCAGGAGGTTAAAAGTGAAAGTTGGGAAAAAGCCAGACACCTCCTAAAGATCAGGAAGTGTTAATTGCTGGTTTTGTCCTCTACTCAAGGTAAGAGGGAGGCAGAGGCAGTCAATGAGAGGATGTGAAGAAACTGGATCATTTGGATGTTGCAAAACCAGGAGTTAATGCCTTATAGTGGGAAGGTGGAGAATGGGAAAAAGAAAAGACATGAAATGTAAGTAGAAGTTTGAAGCCAACATCTCAACATCAAAAACTGGCATGGCCATGAAATGGTGGAAGAGCATTAGCAAGTCAGGAAGAAGGTTGTGTAGGTCCTTTAGAAAAGAAAGCAGGATGCTAGACAACTAATAAAATTTCACATCCAACTGCAAATAGTTTATAGTTTCCATTCTAGATCAAAACAGGCAGTTTGTGCCACGTGCAAAACTCATGTAATTTTGCCCTAGATTTCCTTCAGTGTGTGCTGTTCAGCTTCACACTTCACTGGAGGGTGATGTCTAAGATGACATTGGGACAACAGTCTAGAAATAGTAGCTTCAACTGTCTCCAAACTACCAGCCCAAAGAACAATTGACTCTGTGGAGGAACCATTTGGCAGTGACAAGCACGTAAGTGAAAGACATGGCTTAAGGATTAGAAACAATGTTCAGATATGGGCACTTATCTAAAAAGAGGGATATCCATTATCTCATGTAAAAACACCAGCCAAAGAGAGTGGGAGACAAAAAAAAAGACTCTTAACATGCTGGAAATATTGACAGGAATTATAGCTCACTGGAAAGCATGGGGCATAATGCTCAGGCTTCTACTGAAAAGCTCTGTAGCTGTTTAATTCTCTGTAACTTCTTTAGTTGAACCAACATCTTTGCTAAACCAGCAAACTGAACATACTGCTATCAAGTGCACCTTTGAAAACACTGGCTGTAGTGAGCTTTCACACCTGTGAGCTGATAACCCAAGCTAGACAGAGGATGATCACAAGCTCAGCTAACTGAAACATATATACAAGGTTCACTTGCAGTCAGAATTCAAATCTAGGATGTACATTCTGTGGAACTGGTGGATGATTTGCTTCTTGCTGACTAGACAGCCACATTCATAGAAGCATAGAATGCTTTGGGTTGGAAGGGTCCTCTAAAGGTCATCTAGTCCAATGCCCTGCAGCGAGCAGGGACATCTTTAACTAGATCAGGTTGCTCAAAGCCCTGTCAAGCCTCACCTTGAATGTCTCCAGGGCTGGAGCCTCTGCCACCTCTCTGGGCAACCTCTTCCAGTGTTTCACCACCCTCATAGTAAAGAGCTTTTTCCTGATGTCTAATCTAAACCCACCCTACTCTAGTTTAATACCATTGTCCCTCATCCTGCTTCTAAATGCCCTTGTAAACAGTCCCTCCCCAGCTTTCCTGTGGACCTCCTTCACATACTGGAAGGCTGCCATAAGGTCATCCTGGAGCCTTCTGCAGACTGAACAACCCCAACTCTCTCAGCCTGTCTTTGTAGGAGAGGTGCTCCAGCCCCCTGATCATTTTTGTGTCCCTCAATACAAACCTGAATGCAACCAGCCAAAAAACACCGCTGTCCTACTGAAAAGGCAGAAAAGGAAAATTAGGGAAATGGCCTGTGGTCCTTGCCTTTCAGGAAGAGTATGCTCCAGATGCAGGAATGGGAAACAGCATCTCCATGCCTGGCTCTCACTCTCATACAATAATACCACAAGCAAATTTCTCTTCAGTCTTGTTTAACACGTATATGCATTCCTGAGTGCCACATCTTTCAACCTTCTGCTATCAAAGTCTGGTGCCACATTCTTTTGAGAGTGTGGGTCTGGGTAAAGTAGTAACAACTAGACAGACAAAAATGCTATTGATATGTAAATGAAAAAAAGTTGTGTCTCTCTCTCTACTCTTGCCACCAAGAGCCTGGAAAAGAAAATTATTTCTTCTATCAATCAAGAAAGCTGAATTCGAAACACTTTACAAGCAGATAAGGAGAAGTGAAGCTTACACAAAAACTGAGGGCCTTAAACTTCTTCACACATAGAAAATATATCACAGATTTAACATCATAAGCTTACTTAATTGTAAGATACGTGCCTATTTATTATTTTTTTAAACATGGCAATTCGTACCTTCAAGTCATTAGAAGAACTGCTCAAATTCTCCAGCTCCCTATCCAAAACTAAATTTATTCTAATATTCAATCCTTTTAAAAAACAAACTCAGAAATTCACACAGTGTTAAGGATGGGTCAGTGCTTGAGAGAACATGTCCAAATTTGAAGGCAGTATATTTTTTATCATCCTTTCTAAACATATAATAGAAAACCCAGAAAGTCAGCGTGAGACGAAGCAAATGGAAATACATGCCGGTATAGAGAATACTCAAAGAGCCTTAACTTTATCTTATAGTGACACCATGAGGAAAAAAAGAAATAGACTACACTAATTTTTAAGATCCATTAGATGCAATGCAGTCTTCATTCTTGTGCTTGTGATTATTGGATAATGATAATTGCTAGGCTGCAGAATTTAGGGCTTGGGCATGTCCTAAGCAAAAATATCCTAATGTATGTAATTAAGGCTAACACTACTTAATTCGTGAGTCTATGTTGCAAATAAGATTTTTTAATTTTTTTTTAAAACTTACCTTTACATACTTTTACTGTGATATAGTGTCTGGAAGGCATCAGTGACAGATTATGTGAACAATTCTGCATTAGAATTGCAGGAATCTACTGAAACCTCCAGGTATCTGGGAAAGCAGTGCATGAGTGCAGCTTAGTATGAAAAGACGTTAGATCATAACCTGTAGCCATCTCTCCATCACAGCCATTCCATTTCACTCCGCTATACTTTCCTAAAATTTGAAGAATTACCTAGGTCAGATACCGCAAACCTAGAAAATTAAACTGATCCTTACAAGAATAAAGAAAAGAGACTACTAAGGTGCCATCATTATTGACAGGCCCTGACATGGCAGGAAAGTTCATAAGTGAAAAGTACCTGAACAATTTCAGCTGGTGATACACACCGCCTGTCCCTAATACTACAGAAAAAGGTGGGGAAAGAGATCCCTGCAAATCTACTTTGGAGAAATCTGTTTCCCAGCCCAAAGTCTAGTCATGACATGGTGCAAGGAAACTGCACTAGGAAAATAAAAAGATGAATACCTGTTGTACCTGAAGGCACAGCT